TTTCAGTAGGTTTAATGAAAAGAGAGTCAGGGTTTGATATTTTTAAATACTTACGGAAGTCAGTATGTGATGAATGTTTTTTTCAGTTCTTCACGGATTGAAATAAAAAAGGAGTTGAAAATTTCCAAGATTTTAACTGAATCATTCAATGGTATTGTTTGAAGATATGGAAGATGGATATGATATATCATTTGAACGTATATTCAAAAGAGTTCTAATACTCTTCCATGAAGCTCTCAAACTATTGCTATTGGTAGTAAAGTTGTTAGAAAAGCGTTTTTTTGCTTCTTGGAATAAGTGTTACAAGTAAATTTCTATAGGTTTTGTAAGTTTTTTCAAGAATTGTTTTGTCATGAAGATTTTTTGTCTTAAGGAACTTCTTAAATATACTGTTTCTTTTTTTTTAACAATGTTAAAATTGCTGAAGTAATCCATGGTTTAAGGCTCCAATTTGAGCCATGATTACTTATTTATTTTAGTGGTGAGTGTTTGCCTAGAAGAGAGTTAAAGCTAGTAAAGAAATCTTGATATGATTTATTTGTATTACTATTGGAAACTTTGATTACTTTATCCCAGTTTATTTTCAAGTATTCATTCTGAATTCTTCACTATTTAATTTTTTGATGTTTCGAAGAAGAATATTACAATTACAAGATTTTTTTTTTTTTAAAAGATGAATAAATTAGAAACTGTGGCAAACTATATTCTAATAGTTAGATAGGTGGAAAAAATATCTTGTTGAATTAGAAAATATATTATCAATTAAAGTACTTAAAGTGATTGAAGTACTTGATTTAATTAAACACATGTCAATGTTACCCACATGTCAATGTTACCCACATGTCAATATTACCCACATGTTAATGTTACCCACATGTCAATGTTACCCACATGTCAATGTTACCCACATGTCAATGTTACCCACATGTCAATGTTACCCATATGTCAATGTTACCCACATGTCAATGTTACCCACAATTTAATTTAAAAAATAATCAAGGAAAAAATGATGATTTTAACGATGATTTGATTTTAGCCTGCATGACTCTCTGTATTCTATGTCTAATCTACAAATACTAATTTTTTAAACAAAATCCTAGTAAAAACAAAATCTATTGTTAAAGTATATCATAATCTATGTACAGATACAAATGTCTTTGCAAAACCTAACAATGTTTTATCTTCAGGAATAATTTTAGCCAATTTGTATGAAATCTAAATTTCAACTAAATTTTTACTTTTGGAAATGTTTTTCCTTTGATTATAGAATTATGCATTTAGAATTAATAATTATAGAATTGTTAATAAAAAAAAAACAAACAAAAGAAGCAGGTTACTTATGCTTGCAAAGCAAATAGAACTAATGGTATTATACATCATACATTTACATGCCTAAATACATTAATGGCAGAATTTTTACCCAAATCATTAATCACGCTAGTATTCGAATATGCTGTAGTAATGAGATCTCCATATCTTGTTGGAAATATTAAAGAATTGAAAAATGTACAAAAGCATGTAACAAGGCTATCACCAGTATTATGCTACAAGGCTATTATCATTATTATGTTACAAGACTATCACCATTATTATGTTACATTAACCATTATAACCATTATTACATTATGTTACGCTATAACCATTATTATGTAAGTTAAAGAATGAATATAAACTTGTTATGTAAAATGGGTGATGCAATTTAAATGTATAAAATACTTAATAAACTAAATACATTTAAATGGTGTAACTTTGATCAACAATTAGCATTAATTAATAATAGAACATTAATAACACGTGGCCACAATTATAAACTGAACTCTAAGCTGGTAAAACACTGCACATCTGGTAACCAAGATACAATTAATATACAATCCAAAAAGGTAAAATTGAATACTGGTACAATTTCTTTACAAATCGCTATTTTGAACAAGTTAAACTCTGTTACATTCAATGCATAGAGTTTAAATCAATTTGAGTGTTTAATAGACAAAGAAAAAGATATTAAAACTAAACTATTAAGAAATATTTTAATAATATAAGCAATATAAGTATTTAAGCCTAAATGTCATAACCTGACAAACCTGGTTTTGCAGGAGTATCTGCTCCTGTTTCAGCACTTTATAATTATTATCATTACTGTTATAGTTAAGCTTTTTAAATGACAACATATTTTATCTAAATATTTCAACAAAAAACTTCAGTTTCAAAAACAAACAAAAAAACAATGTATATTAAATACAGTTTTTTTTTGAAAACAATCTTTTTTATTATATTGCAAGGTATAGGTGTTTATAAAATCACTCTGCAGTTTGACCCTATTTTAAAACTAATTAGGTTTGTTCATTAAATACTACTCTATAAATTTTAACACAACATAAAGTTTTTCAAGCTGACATAAAAAACTTATTCTTTAGAGTAAGAAAATGTTACTTTACAAAATAAATTTTATTTAGAAACAATAAACAAATAATTTTTTTTTTCAACTTTAATTCACCTCCCCAAGGCCATGAAGGCCACTACAGTCGAGTAAGCTACTTTAGTTGTGACTACAACCCTCTCTCTAACTCTAATCTTGTTATAACCCTCTCTCTAACACAAATCTTGAGGAACAAGGCAGCTGTGCGGAGAAACAAGTTGAGCATAGTACTACCAGGAATGTGGTGGGGATCGAACTTGGAACTTCTTGCTTATAAGTTTAGTAAGCAACCAGGGTTGATATTTAACTGGGGCCAGGGCCAGGTTTGATAAAATATAGCTGGAGCCAGGGGTGTGCCTGGTTTGTGACTGGGGCTGGATAAACATTTATACATCCTAAAGTATATATTTTTAATTCAAAACTCATGTTATATTTTTTATATATATGCATATATAAATATCACTATGATCAACATGATCATTATAATCATCATTACCATCATCATCATCTGATCATCTACTCTTCCGTCAAATACCACACCATATAAATACTAAAGTTAATATAAATATGTAAGGATTTTGTATGCCAACATCTAAATAAATAGAAAACATATATGCTTAAAAATAAATGTCCTTTTATTATTATCCAAGAAGCCAATGTAAAAAGGTCCTGTCTGATGTTAAGCTCTGTTATTCTCAGTTTACTAAATCTTAGTCTTCAACAGTGTCATTAACTAAAGTAAGTCAAACATTCAATCTCTAATTCATGGGTCTGATCTTTTTACTTCTCCCTAGAGTTATTTGAAAAGAAATCTTAATCTAATTTGACTCTTGAATCTAATGGCCATACTCTTCCTGCCTATTAAACAAATTAACTCATTGTTAAACATCCAAACCACTCTGGCTTCCAATGATAAAGTTTGTGCTTCAGACAAGATTTCCATTGAAGTTTTAAAAAAGTGTTCTCTACAACTCTCTTCAATTTTTGCTACATTTTTAAAAAGAGCTAGATAAGTGGTTCTAATTTTTCAAAACTCTAGAAATCACTTTGATCGCTCCAACTATAGTCTTCACACTGTTTATATAAAGTCTTTTTATGTAAAGGTTTTGAGATTAATTTCTTTCTTTCTAATTGCAGTATTGAAGTTATTCTTGAAAGCATACACTCTTCTTTATTTCATGTAACTTTAAGGCTATCACAAGGTTCTATCTTTGCTCATGTATTGTTTCTTATCTACAATATCATTCTTCAAGAAAATTTTACATCTAAAGTGGCTCTATTTTTGATTGCTTAAAACAAGCAGCGAATTTTTAATCTGATCTCTTTTCTGTACCAGGCTAAGGCTTGCAGTGGCTTATTGATTTAAATTCTATGCTTAAAATTCACAATTTTTGTTAGACAACAAAACTTGTTTATTTACTGCAAAAAAATATTGCAATAATGTTGGCATTCCTATATTGATGAATAACAACCCTTTTACTCTCAGACAAAGTCTAAAAGCACATTGTAAATGTAATTAAACCTGCTTTATCTGCCAAGCTTAAGCTACTCTCCCGCTGTTGTAAGGTTGTATTTCTTTCTTTTTTCTACAAATACTATCATGGTCATTTTCTACAAATACTATCATGAGCTATCTCTGTAACGATAAACTAAAACTCATTCTTATTTGGCCTCTTATTCAACAAGCTGCATCCTTTACTGCATCTGTCCCTTCATGCTATAAAAACTTAATTAATTCAGTTTTTTTTTCCTTGCACATCAAAAAAAACCTTATAACTCTTACATATCTTCATGTTTTCCTTTTTTATACAATCTACAACTTTTTAAGATTTCCGTTAACCGTTTTTTACTTATTTTAACCATATTTTAACTTATTTTCTATTTAAAGTAACTCATAGCTTAATAGTGGTTGCTTGCAATCTTGTTGGATGTAATTAAGAGTTTAAAAATATGTAAATATATGTCAGTATTTAATAAATAGTAAATGTAAGCATAAAATTATAATATATAAAGTATTACAAATTTTTTTCTAGCCCCGGCTATCAACCCCTGCTAAATCATATAATTTTGCTGGGGCCAGAGCTGGGTTTTTAAAAAGTCTCATTTTCAGCCAGGGATGGGGCCCCGGTCACTTACTATATAAGGTGAGTGCTCTACTACTAGACTACTACCACATTTAAAAAAATATCGCAACTTGAGTTTTAGCTTAAATGTAGCCATCTTTCCTACCAGGTTCAACTATCAGCATGGCTTTTTCTGTCACGCTCAGCACTATGTGGTAAATTTTTAACAGGAAGTTGTTAAGTTTGTTCAAAATATCAATTATAGCACTAACAACTAATCTTTAGTAAGCAAGAAGGTAAAACCACAATCTTCAACAACTTTTCATTTAGCTAGCAGTTCAGTGGTCGTTTCTTGCTCCAATTCATATTGCAGTCTTCTTCACACACACACACACACACACACACACACACACACACACACACACACACACACACACACACACACACACACACACACACATACACACAAACACACAAACACACACACACGAACAACATATATTCATAGCTAATTAACTTACCTTGGAACTTGTGACAACAGCACTTATATCTTCTTTATCAAAACTAGAGAGATCAGGTGAAATTTTTACTAACAAGGGTGGTTTATTTTGTAACTTCTCTCTCGCCTTAAGAACCTTAATATATTAAAATATTTATATTAAAAGAGTATTAAAACATTTCTTAAAAATTGTGAAAATTAATAATTTTTTATATCAAATAACTTTTTAGTAAATATTTTAGGCAAATGAAACATGTTGGTTTACAATAATCAATAATTTATAATAATAAATTTATATATAATTGATGATACCAAAATTAATGCTGAAATAAAAAACTTAAATGACTATTGTACTCTTCAAAATGAGATTAATCTGGTAGTTCAGTGGTATAATGAATGGTTAATAAAATTAAATTATGCAAAATATAAAGTGATGCGTATCAGCAAAAACAATAAAAATTTCGACTACATAATAATAACGAAAAATGGTTCCATCCACCTTATTGTATCGAGTGACTGTGAGAAAGAGTTGGGTATTATGTTGTGTCTAATGATTTGAAACAAAAGAAGCAGGTTACTTATGCTTGCAATAAAGCAAATAGAACTAATTCATCATACATTTACATGCCTAAATACATTAATGGCAGAATTTTTACCCAAATCATTAATCACACTAGTATTAGAATATGCTGTAGTAATGTGATCTCCATATCTTGTTGGTAATATTAAAGAATTAAAAAATGTACAAAGGCATGTAAAAAGGCTATCACCATTATTATGTTACATTAACCATTATAACCATTATTTCGCTATGCTATAACCATTATTATGTAAGTTAAAGTACGAATATAAACTTGTTACGTAAATAGGGTGATGCAATTCAAATGTATAAAATACTTAATAAACTAAATACATTTAAATGTATTTAGTTTATTAAGTTTTTTTTTTTTTAAACACATTCACTTCCAAGAAGACTGCAAGCAACCACTATTAGAGTTGGAAGTTATTAGAAGAGAAAAGATGAAGTTTATAGAGCAAGATAACGATTATCAAACAACTAAAAAGATTGCAAATTATATAAGTGAGGAAAACAAGATAGAGCGAGCGAATTCCATAGAAATAATGTTCATGGAAAAAAATAGACGAATAAGAATTTTTGGAGCACTTAGGAACAGTCACAGTGAAAGGATGAGGCTTAATCGAATGATAAGTAACACGAGAATGAATTTTAGTAGATAACAAAAGAAATGCTATGCAAAAGAAATACTATAATGCGCCCATTATAGTATTTATAGAAAAGAGGAAAGAAGCAACATTACAACGATGTGACTGTGGTTGAAGGTTGGCTGCAATAGCAGGTCCGCTTTGTTTACATTTTTGCACCTTGTCTAAAAAAATAAGAGCATTATTTGAAAATCTGCTCCAGATATGGCAACGGTATTCCATACAAGGAAAGATATAAGAATATATATTAGAATATGCTAATTTTGCAATGGATTTGTTATACAGTTTTCAAGAAAGATTGGAAGTGTATCGGAATGAGTAATGACTCACTGAGTACATTACTGCTCATAAATATAAAAACTTGATTGTTACGGTAACAATAGCTGAAAAAAAATTGCGTTTTTTCTAAGTTTAAGTTATAGCTATTGAGAGTCCCTTGCTGTAGCAGAAGTGAGATTCTTTTCAAGCTCAAATGCCCCCTCCAAGCAATCAGAGAGTGTTGGCTTCTTACCAAGACAAGAATAAATGGTAGTATCATCAGGAAACAATGTCAAGCAATGGATCAACCTGTTTGTCGGCTTTATTAGGTATGTGACTTGTGGAACCATGAGATAAGATTCATAAAAGGTTCTTAGCAAAGAGTTTAGCTTTGTCTTTAGGTGAGGTGACAAAATCTGAACCATGCAAGACAGAAAGAACAATAGACTTGCCCTTTTTAAAGGCAGTGGAAAAGATTATCCAGAAGTCTCTAGAGCCTAACTTGAAATGAAGATTTTGTGACTTGAGAATAGTAAGCTTTGGCGTTAGACAAAACCTTTTTACAATGGTTTCTAGCAATAGTAAATAGACGTCTATTTTCTAAAGAACTGTTTTAACAATAGATTTGGAAGTAATAGTTATAATTGAATATCGAAGCGGCAAAATAAGAGGTTTGACTTGAAATCATTGAGTTGGAATAAAAGATTCCATTCAAGCCTGAATCCAAGAAATTACATAAGAAGCACATTTGTCAGCAGGAAGACAATAGATTTTTACCCAAAAGTTACCAGGAAGAAAATCACGAAAAGAACCCCAGTCAGCTTTAAAGTAGTTGTAAAAGGTACGATGATAGGGGGATTTTTATGATGAAGAAGAATGAGATAATAGTTTTAGAGAGATCAAACCATGCTCAGATAGACCTAAGGATAAATTTGAAGAAACTGAGTGCTGATTAGGATCAGAAACAAGACATAAGTCAAGTAGAGAAGGTAAATGATTCAGATTGTCTGGAAAGCGAGTTAAAAAGTTAACAACTTGTGCTAGAGATTGAGAAAGGCAAAAGTTGTGGGCCTTAACACCTGCAGAGTCACTGACACTAAAACCAAACTATTCAATGTGATGAGAATTAAATTCACCAACAACAAAGATATCAACTGAAGAATAAAGAGGAAGGACTTGGTTATTTGATCAGTAATAACATCAAAAAGGGTGCAGTCTTGAGCTGAAGGAGAGCAATATAGAACGAAGAGAAAGGTGATAAAGTGAAATGTTGCTAAACCAAAGCACATAAAAGAACAGTCTGTGGATTCTAACCTAGTTTCTCTCAACAAATGGGTGAATTATTAAGAATGTAAATGCCCAGGTCAAGCATGCAAATATTGGAGTCTTTATGAATTAAAGGATTACCATCAACACTAAGATCATAAGATTAGACAGGTGAACTCTATTTAGTCTCACAAACAGTAAGTAACAAAAACAATAGGTCTAGTGACCTTTGAAAGGGATAAGACTCAACAGAAGAAAAGTTATTTTGAAGACCACGAATATTAGTGAAAGATTTAGAGAACTTGGGAATGACAATGGTAACCAAGATGTAACAATACGTAACACTGTAATGTAATGCTGCGTGAAAAATGTGACATAACCACACATAACATATTGACCTAATGACACATAACACCGTAATCTATAGTATCTATCACTATTTTTTTTTTTTTTATAAGTACATTTTTAAATATGAAAAGACTGCAATTATATATGAAAAAAGCTATATATATAAAGAGAGAGAATGAAGGAGAAAAAAGTGAAGTCAAGTCAGAAAGTGTAGACAGATATTCCACAGAAAGTGCAAACTATTACACATAATTGGCTTTAGCTAATTATTTTATGTAATGAATGAGATTATTTCATAAGAAAGGTTGACATTTTATATTGTGGGTTTATAAAAACATGTATTACGCTTGTATTATTGACAAAAAAAAAAACGTAATGTAATGTAACAAAATCGAGATATGAGACGTAGTTAAAATACATCTAAAATATAGATTTTTTTAATTTTAAGTTACATTTCAGTCTACACTTTTTAAAAGTTGCACTTTCATAAGTAAAATTAAAATAATTGAAATGTAACTTTGCGAATTGAAACTTTTTTTGTTACAGTTAAAATAAACGATGATAATTAGTAATTTCAAAAGTTTAGTTACAAATGTCTCGACAAACGCATTGTTAAATACTGTAACTAATGAGTTACGGTATTTAACAGAATTATTTTGTTTACAATATTATTAATATATTTGATCATTTATGTATTTCATTATTGAAAACGCAATAACACGTTTGTCAAAACTATTGTAATTTTAAAAAATTAAAAAAAATTAACCCACGCTTGTGGGTTTGTTTTTAAAAAAGACTTCTTAAAGGTAAATACAACTTTAAAACTTAAAAAGTTGTATTTATCTAAAAAAAAAAAAAAGTACATTTAAAAGTTAAAATAACTTACGGTACTTAGGCAATTTAAGGTACTTATTACCTTTAAAAGTATAACCAACCGAGACAAAGCGCAACGTAAAACATTTAAGAATTGAAATGTAATTAAAATATGTTACAAATATATATTTTTGTTATGTTACATAATGTCATTTTTTTTTAAAAAGGGTAACTAATTGAGACGTAGCGTAACGTTAAAAAAATCTATGTTTGAGATGTATTTTAGTTATATCTCAAATTTAGATTGAGTTACGTTATGTTACGTCTTGGTTACGATATGTTACGTCTTGGTTACACTTTATAAAAAGTTATAAAAAAAAACAATTGAGATGTAACGTTGCGTATTGAGACTTTATTTTTTTTTTGTGACAAAGTAATAAAAGATAGTATACAGCATTACAGCAATAGTAAACAACCTATCACTGCATTATCAAGCTTATTTACTTAAGATTTGATTAAAAAATAGAGAATGTAACCTTGTTACCAATTGTAACCGATTGAGATGTTATGTAACTTTAAAATGTTATAGGGGACTTCAGCCATTTTTTATACTGGTTAAAGAACTTGACTCAAAGCACAAAAAGTACTCACTACACTATCTAAGAGTTCTACCGATTGCCTCATTACATTAACAAACCCTGAGCTGTAACAAAGAGCTCCAAATAAGGCCTCGACAATGCACACCAAAAGTACAAACATGGACACCATCAATGCACAATATGGCACTGTTAGTGCTCTGATATTTTACAACTGTTGATAGAATCAGTCTCTCTGAGAGCTGCTGCAGAGTTTGAAAAACCAGATTACCAGCTGGCCACAAAGCCATAATACTGAGTTTTAGAGCTGTACCCTTATTAGGAGAAAATAGAATGAGTTGCCTAGTCATAAAAACAGAGACACAAGCAAAACCCACGCAATGAGTCAAGAATCCAGCATTTAACATCCCCAACTGGAAACAATGTATACATCTATGATGGAAATGGAAACATACATACATCTACGCTAGCCTGACAAATGAAGAACTTAATTTTTTCTTGGTAATTTATTGTTGTACAACTTCAAATTGATTTCTGCATTCATTCCTGATGTTGGGATCATCAGTTTAGCATGTATAGCATGTCATCATCATGTGTAGAGAGTTTGTGTAGTAGTTATTTGACAACCAATATGAGGTATATTATCAACACTTTGATATTGCGATGTAATATTTTTGCTATTGCGAGAATTTAGAAATTTTAAATCGCTTTTTTTCAATTTGTCAATTGCTTACATTGATTTAACGCATATTAATTTCTCCACTTTTTGAGCAGCTCAGACTCTGACTTAGGTCTGAACTTAAGTCAGAGTCTGAGTTAAACTTAGGTCTTAACATTAGTCCTTCTTCCTAAGACTGCACTCTTTTAGATGTAATTTCTGATCAAATTGACCATGGCCTTTCTCTTTACCCCTCTGCCAATATTGTTGTTATTGGTGACAGACACAAACTCCTTGTGTCCGGTCCTTTAACTCAAATTTACAATCTAAAATATTTTTGACAACAAAGGCAAACATTTTGGTAGATTAGGATAACAAAGGCAAACATTTTGGTGTATTATGTTCTTTAGGTATGATTTCAATGCCATTTTCTTGATACCAATTCATTATGCTTTAACAAAGTGACAGCTCACTAAATCAAGCAAAAAAACTTATAGCAACATTATGGATTTGTATAAAAAGCAGAAGAAAATTTTCCAGGCACTCCAGTAAAAATCTTATTTTTTATGAAATAGAACAGGCTTTGTTTAAATTTAAAAACGTTTTTTCTTACTTTGTTAATTTAAAGCTCTTCAAGTTTTTTTGTGTGGCTATGCTTTAAGAGTTTTTTATTCAATCTTTATTTCAAAATGTTAGAACATAATTGCTCAATTTTTTTCTAACAATTTTTGTCCTATCTAAACTGTCAACTTCTTCACATAACATAAGTAAATATAAAAATGAAGTCTACATCAATGATGACATCACTATCTGATTAACATTTTAAAAGAATAATTTTATTTATAGAACTTTTAAAAATTAAAATGTGTGTTTAAACTTTTTGCATAGATTATCTGCATAGGCTATCATAAGTTTATAAAACTTTTTGCAAAAGTTATCATAGGTAATCAAATTTCTCATACATACATACATACATGCATACATACATACATATATACATGCATACATACATAAATACATACACACATACATACATACATACATACATACATACATACATACATATACATACATATGCATACATACATATATATATATATATATATACATATATATATATATATACATATATATATATATATATATATATATATATATATATATATATATATATATATATATATATATATATCTGTGTCAAATATTTTACTCTTTCAAGAAGTTCCTGCAGTTCTTTTCTACTTTGCATATTTCGTAGACCTGGTGTATTTGGAGATGAGATATTGATAACTAAGTAATCAGCCAACTCACCAAACTTTAAAACGTTTTCCACATAATCAGCAGCTGAATCTTCTGTGAGTTTGTTTTTACCAATGTTTACACCAACTATGCCATTTTTATGTTTAGATAATATAGCAGACAAATTAGAAAATGCAACATCAGCTCCAAAGCTGTTAAATCCATACCTAAAACAAGTTCAAAATTTTATTTTACATTATCAAGTTAATGTCAAAAGTGTGAATTATCCATCAAAAGAGAGAGTGAGAAAAAAAAAAGAAAAAGTTCTAAAATGATATAAACTTGAAAAAAAACAAAACAATTATTAAGTAAACATAAAAAGTTGAAATTTTTTGAAAATTTCAACTTTTCTTAATTAGATTGGATTTAAGTTAACTTTATTAGAAATAATGCATACTGCATGTTTTATAAACAACTATAAGTGTGCATTCAGATAAGCAGTGTTGTCACACTGATATATCCTGCTGCTGAACGCAACAGTACATACATTGATTATCTCATAGCCGCTACAAAGGAGTGCCGCAAGATCAACTGAGGGTTTGGGATGGGACAGCAATCTTTTTTTTTCTTCATTATTATTTATTTTTTCCTTCTTTTTTCTGAAAAAGCTGTATGCTATAAAGATAAACAAAAATAGTAAGTAACTGCTGATTTTTTTTATATTCTATATACATTTTATATATATATAAATATATATATGTGTGTGTGTATATATACATATATACATATATATATATATATATATATATATATATATATATATATATATATATATATATATATATATATATAATTTATATATATATATATTTATATATATACATATATATATATATATTTATATATATATATATATATTTTTGTAAATGCAATGCATTTTAGTAAAGCTGTACGCCTTAGGGATAAATAATAAGTTAAAAAGAGTTTAGCAGAGTGAAAATAAAAGTACAAAAGGACAGATGTCCAGTGGAAAACAAAGGGCCTCAATATTATGGAAAAATATTAAAAACTGATATAATAAAGTGTAGTAAAAGTAAATAAGAATAATAAACAACAGTCAAGGAAAGTCATTAGTTGTTGTGCTACTAATTTGTTGTTAGAGTCCAGCGTAAATGTGATTTATAGATAGAATTGGTAATGGAGCAGAATTATTCGTTTTATAAGTAGTCACCATGTAGTATGTATTATTAGAATGATAAACATACATTATAGATATAAGTGTCATGAACGTCTCGAGTAAAGTATGGATTCGTGCCTTATGGTGCAGTGTGAACACATGAAGACCTCCAGCTTTCATCCGAGACTGGTATCCCAAAAGAAGTTCCACTCTGGGTCTACACCAGGGTATCTTTTTAAGGTATCCCATTGTGTTATCCCAAAAGGACTATTCTCAGAGTATCCAGTCAGGACAATTGCCACAGACTCCTGAATTGACACTGGGACCAGAGGACACTTAGTGGGGTTCAGTACAACTTGCAAACAGTAATAAGTAGTTTTTTGATATGAGTGTCTATTAAGTGCAGTGGTTTGTCAGAGTCAATGAGAGTTGTGAACTGTTTTGAGTTTTTATAACTATGTGTGTAATGTAAGTAGTCAATGTAGTGTACGTGTGTGTGATTACTTTAGTAGCATGTCTTGATGGTGAGAGTTATCAGTATAAAAATAGTTGAAAGACTTTTTAATTTGTGTTACATAAGGTAGACGTGAGTACTATAAGTCTAATAAACGTGTATCATTAAAAAATAGCATAAATAAATAACAAACTATTACAACTTGATAAACTAGAAATGTTAAACAGAGCTATATCAATAGAGCAACAATGACTAGTATATGTGTATTGCAACTAATAATCTGTATATATATTTTACAATTCATAATCTAAAATTATATAGAAATCATGTAGTCTAACAGTTTAATGTAAGTGTTACATAAGTGTGATTTGTATTTTGTATAAGTGACAAGTTTAACTGTGTATGTCATGTGACTGTAATGTATTCAGGAGTATCTGAAGTCGAGTGGAATTATTCGTTTTCAAAACAGTTAGCAGGTGAACTTTAGTCAATTAAACACAATGTACATATAGCATGGCTGATTTTGTGTCATTTACAGTAACAAATTAATAATAAGAACACTATGATATAAGGAATAATTAAGAAGAAAATAAAAATAAAATTTAAAAAAAGGATAGTAAAGTTTTAATTCAATTTCGTCACTCTAGTACATTGTCTTCTGTTCTGGCAAGGGACTTGAAATTTCAAATATTTATTAAAATATCCATATATTTATATTTTTAAAAATATTTTTAAACGTCATAGCACTTTTTGGTAGTGTACAATAAATGCACCTATCTATGGTTAATTACTGTGCTAAATTTCACACCCCACGGACAATATGTTCTGTTCTGGCAAAGAGCCTGAAATTACCCACAAAATTCATTGTGTTTTATTATATATATTTTTTTTAAAGTCAATTTTTTTAACGTGATTTCAAAACCAAGTACATATTTCAATTGGAATAAGTGCATCTGTTTCTAGTCTTTTTTCAACTTTTTTTGTTCTAATATTGTTAATCTTTTGAGACAGTAACTTTTTGACATATACGCAAGTATACAATATGTTAACATTATAAAATTAAAGTTAAAAAATTTATTTATATTTTTTATGATCCTTGCACAAATTGAAGTTGCTCTTTTGTCTTGAAATTTTCTTGGCTTATACACAAGCATATACAGTAATAACTATTATTTCAGCTGATTATTTCCCAGATTATCATTATTAACCAATAATTATTTACAATTAAGAAGTTGTTACAAGTTATTGCTTCAGGTCGTGAGTAAGAAAGAAAACAACAGTGAGAAACAAAACATGGCAAAATCTTCAAAATTTTCAAAGCAAAGAGAATTAGACTGCCTAATTTTCAGATCACTGACAAATTTTGCTAGGATACTTCCAACAAAAGAAGATGTTATTAAATGTTTAATTTACGAAAGGTGGCGTCTTGGATATGAAACAACTGGTAATAAGGAACTCACATTTTCTTCCATATAACATTTCGTTTGTGAAAAGCTGCAACTGCTTTATTCTGATGCTTCCATTCCAACAGTTTCAAAGAAACATGTTATTGATGTAATTGATGCATGTCACAAATCTTATAACGATATTTTATAAACAGATAGATCTTTATAAAAGAATAGAGAAAAGCATGGCAACTAAAGCAGGAGTTAAGAAGTTTAAAGAAGAATCACACTTTTTTTTTTGACATAGCAACTTGTAAATGTTTTATGTTTACAGACTGCAATTACTCAAAAGAATCCAAGGCCTCCTTTACAGGAAAAATATTTCTTGCTGATCACAGAATAAAAAGCGCTTAATGTGCATTGGATTGCTCGATTTGCAAGAAACTAAAAAGCTCCAAGCACATGCTGAAAGGAGGACAAAAGAATTTCTTCATAGTTCAAAATCTACTGCCTTTTGCTTATGACAGCCTTATGGTGATAAGCCTTCATCATCATCATGTTTCTGTAAAGATTACAAGACAATGGATGAGGATGAAGTAACTAAACCTGATGACTATAACCCCAGACGTCAGCTTTATCCTTTTTGCAAATGAATATGAAACTTACTAACACCGCCTTAATAAGTCAAAGATTTGGGGTATCGCTTCAAGCCACAGCTGCCATAGCCATTAGCCTTTTACACGACATAGGCCTAGTAAATTGGATACATCTTTAGTGATTGATAAGAATTAAATTGCTAGAGAGAGGTATCGAACCGTGGAAGAACTTAAGAGTGAAAGTTCAAACACTGATAAGGATTATTTAGTAGGTCTTACTTCGATGGCCTACCTGACAAAGAATTGTCAACAGAAAAAGAAAAGGATTATTATTACCAAAGAAAATTATAGAGGAGTACTATTCCTTGGTAAAAGAACCAGGATCTAGCTATGTTGGCTATGTTACACCAGCATCATGAACAAGTCTAACCATTGCTGAAAGTATTTAAAATTATATCACAGCAGAAGTGAGCGAAAGTTTAAACAATGTTCTTGTTATAGGGTGTGATGGAACAGTTGTAAATACTGGAGTTCTTAATTGGGTACGTTGTCTAGAACTGAAGATTGAAAGGTCAGGGTAATGTGTTGTTTGTCAACTGCATTTCAATAAATTGTCTCTTTACCACTTGTTTGAATCCTTTGATGGTCCTAACTCCGGACCTACTTCCTACACCAGTTGCATTGAAAAATCTTTAAAGGCATGTGAGCTGCTTGCAGTGGTAACATTTGAGCCAGTTAACTGCACCTTGCCATCAGTTAATATACCAAATTTCAATAAGGACCAGAGTTATTTAAAGGATATTGCTCTTGCCATTAGATCAGGCATATGCCCTCTAGGTCTTGCTAAGCAAGATCTAGGTCCCCTAAACATATCACGCTGGTTGACAACAGCCAACAGAATATAAAGATAGTACCATAGGAGAGTTCATGCATCTTGAGTAGCATGTCTTGATGGTGAGAGTTAACAGTATAAAAATAGTTGAAAGTCTTTTTAAATGGTGTTACATAAGGTAGACATCTCAGAGCGCATGCATCTTGGTTTCACATCAAAATCCATCATTCAACTAAGGATGGAGCGCGGCATCTTTACAACTTTGTTCAATCATCCAGATACTTGGATCAAGTTAACCGCAACGTCATTGACCCAGTAAGTTCTCGGAATGTTTACTTTGCATCTTCAGAAAACATTCTGCTTGCAATGCTTACTGATAAGGGAACACATATCAGAACCCTCAGCATACGAAGAGCGACAAGAGCATGAGAATCAATTGAGTGGTTGGAAATGCTGGGACAAGAAAATTTAATACAGTAACTAATCATACACATGTGCAGCTTTTCCACACTACCGCAAAGTGCTGTGACGCTTAGAAAATATTTCTAAAAAATTATTCAAAAAATGGATATTTTATTAAATTTTTGAAATTTCAAGTCCCTTGCCAGAACAGAAGACATTGTACTAGGGTGTTGAAATTTTGCACAAAGGTTACTTATAAAGAGAGACAAGTTTTGCGCTCTACCCCAAAAGCATCATAAAAAATTTTGTTTTTCAAGCCCCCCTATTTCAAAAAGTCGATTCATACTTTGATATAACAGTTTATCCAAAAGTTAAAGACAAAAATGAATTCTAACGTAATTGGGAAACTTTGGAAGACAGCTTTTTCAAAATGGAGCTGTTGAACGTTTGGTTCGGTAAAGTATAGGATTTTAACATAGGTTCAGAAAACTTGAGGAATATGTTTAGCTCCATCTTGGTAATTTTAAATGGTTTTTTTACAATAGGCACAAATTCTCCGGCCAATAATAATTCAGATCAGCATATCAAGAATTGATAAGCTGATCTGCTTTATTGGTATTAATTAAATATGTTAAAAATCTGATTGATAATTTCAGTTAGTAAAAAATAAGTTCCTCTCAATTTTTTTATCATAGATTTTATAATTTAAGTTTATATAATTTATATTATATAATTTTATATATTAAAGATCCAAGTACACCATGGACTTACAGACCAAAAGAGCTAACATTATTATTAGTAATAGAGACAGTTTCAGTGTTGTTTGTTAAAATTATTCAACAACCAACTCTACTATATGTTATATTTTTAGTATATGTTATATATAATTTTGTTTTATTTAGTAATTGATATTAGCTGTCAAAATTAAAAATTACTTCAATGTCCTGCTTTTTTATATTCTTTCATTATGTTATTTGATATATTTTTTGAAAACTCATTGGTGATGAATTTAAGTCTTTATCTAAATATGACCCATCTGGAGACCATATTTCCAGAAATTTGGTTAAAAAAAAAAAAAAAATTTCCAGAATAAAGTTTTAGTGCCTTTTATAATGATTTTTATAGTGCCTTTTATAATGATTTTTGTTGTAAACATTTTATTTTTAGGCATGAGGATTCATTTTTTCACTTTATGCTTTTGATGATCTTCATGCTTTCAAAAAAATATTTTTTTGTTATTAAAGAATTTAATGCAAAATTACAAATACTCTTGACAAAATTATATTTTTGAATGTTATAACTGTTGTCTCTGTAAATTTTAGTGTTATCTCTGTAAATTTTAGTGTTGTCTCTGTAAATTTTAGTGTTGTCTCTGTAAATTTTAGAGTTGAATGTTACAAAAGTATTTGCAAGTTTCTTTGTAAGTTTGGAATATTTTGAAATTTTGATGAAAAAATCTTCATAGTTGAGCACGAATGATCCTGGGTAAATTTTAATTTTAGTATATAAAAACAGGAGCAAAAATAAACTTTGTTTTAAAGTGAAATATTTGATTAGATTTTTCCATAACTCTATAATAAAAAGCAATTCCACAATATATTACATCGTTACATCGATTACATCGCTATTTACAAGTAAAAAATTTTGGCGAAGAATAGAAAAAAACATATTCTTGAATAAAAATTGTTTTTTTATTTTAGTTCTTACACTAAAAACAAAGATAAATTTGTTGCTTTAGCAAATAATAGACATCTTAAACATAGTTAACATGTTTTAAAAATTATTCAAGAAAGATAACTTAGTGAGAAAAATAATATATTACCTGTTTATTATTGCTTCATCTTGTGACAAACGAAATACCCTGGGTTTTGCATTACCATACTGTGGTTTTGGAGTTATAGAACCAACTTCAACAAAACCAAATCCCATTTTAAACATGCCATCAACACATTCAGCATTTTTGTCAAAACCTGCAGCAAGACCTAGCGGAGAATCAAATTTTAAGTTCCACAGCGCAGTAGACTAAAATTGTAAAATATAGAATAATTTACAAAATTATCAAAATGATACATTAATTTAAGCATTATCTTTTTATAAAACATTAATTTATTTACATTAAATATAATAAGCATCTTCACAACATTTAAATAATAAGCATTTATATATATATATTGTTATATATATATATATAAATGCTTGTTAAAAATTGCGCATTTGACCGCAAGCCACACAAGAATTTGTGTTCTGTAAAAAATTTCCACCCACCCATCTATATATATAAATATATATAAATAAATATAAATATATATATAAATATATAAATTATATATATATATATATATATATATATATATATATATATATATATATATATATATATATATATATATATATATTATATATTTAATATTAAGAAAAAAGAAGGAAGGAATTAAGAAAAAAGAAGGTCGGCAATAATTTGCCGACCTCAATCTTATAGAGGTCAGCATCAGGCCGACAAAAAAGAAATTTATACAAAGGTCTTAAATACCATAAAGTATTGAACAAGGTCAGCAATATTTTGACAACCTCAAACTTTAAGGTAGGCAGATAGGTTGGCATAGCTGAAAGCCAACCCTAATTTTGAGGGATATATATATATATATATATATATATATATATATATATATATATATATATATATATATATATATATATCTATATCTATATCTATATATATATATATATATATATATATATATATATATATATATATATATATATATATATATATATATATATATATATATATATATATATATATATATATATATATATATATATATATATATATATATATATATATATATATATAATTATGAATGCATGCTTAAATAACATTTCTGATGTCAAACTGAAATAGCCTGCTTCCATGGACTTCAGTACATACATCAACTCTCTTGTAGCAAGATCTTGTAGCTGCCGCAAGAGAGTGGTGCTACATTGATAGAGGGTTTGGAATGGGGCAGCAATCTTTGCTGTCATATTTTAATATACTTTTTTTATTTCAATTTTCAGATTAAATGATTAAAGAAGATTGTTAATAAGTGATATAAGTGATAAAACCTAATTTAAGAGATGAAACCAAATTTTTAAGAAATAAAGCCTAATTTTTAAATCAAATCAAATCGAATATATTCTGAAACAAGTTGTTTAACATTTTAAGGATATTTACACTAGTACGAATACTAATATAAAGCAAATACCTAATACAATATATCAATATAGACATTTAGAAATATATTAATAGTAATAGTAATATTATATTAATAGTGTAAATACTACTAACAATTAAAACAACAATAAACTTTAAGTCAATATATATATATAGCAATAAGTAATAATGATAGTAAAATAGAAAATAAAATAAAAATAATAAAAAAGTTAATATTACTATCATCTGAAAACAAAATAATAATGATAAGAATAATAATCATATTATAAAATTTAATCATAATAAAAAAGAATAATCAAAATCAAAATTAAAATTTTTTAATAACGATGATAATATTACCAATAAAAATAAGATAAATAGAAATGAAAGAAAATAAATTGATGATGACGATTAATAAAGATTCAAGAAAATCCTCATCTATAACAGTGATAATATTAACAATGAAGTTAAGATAAATAGAAACAAATGAAAGAAAATAAATCGATGATGACGATAAATAAAAATTCAAGAAAATCCTTGTCAATAACAATGATAATATACTAACAATAAAAATAGCAAAATGAAAAAAATAAATATATAAAAGGAAAAGCAGAATAAATAACCAAGGAATTAAGGATAAGAAAAGACTAGGTAGATAGAGTTTGATAAATAATAGATAATTTAGAGTTATTGAGGATAGGAGAATGAAAAGCCAGAGGATTTCTATTTTATAAATATTATAGGGAGTTTGGAGTTTAACTGCAGAGATATTTATTTGTATTTTATTAACAAGTGATTGAAAAGCTTCACCTTGAAGTCAGAGATTGAGTTTAGAGATTTTAAATCAGGAGGGAGATGAGGGTTCCATGCGCTTATACTTTGGTATTTAACGGATTTATTTCCATACTTAATAGAGCGGTGTTTTGGAACAGGTAGGTTTAAATTATTAAAGGAGCAAAGAGGATATCGACAGTTTAAACATTTATTATAAAAATTGTTGAACGATACTGGAAGGTTATGGTGATGGTAATTCCAGACAAATTGACAGTTAAGGAATATAACAAGGTCACTTAATTTTAGTATATTGGAAATACAATACAGCACACTAGATTTAAAGTTATTAGATTGAAAATATATTATTTTTAAGGCTTTATTTTTGAGATGGGATAGCCTTGAGAAATTGTGTTTCTGAGATTGTCCCCATATTTGACATGCATATCTTAGATGAGACCCAAAAATAGCATGGTATATATTAAGCAAAGCTTCTAAATTTACATAATGGCAGACTTTAGCCAACATTCCATTAGATCTCCTGAGTTTTATTGCCAAGTCATTTAGATGGTCTTTGAAGGAAAGATTGGAATCAATTTTAATACCAAGATATTTGATAGATCCCACAGGATAAACTTTCTGTCCATTTAGTCTAAAATTTAAGTGCTTTTTAATAGGTGTCAGACTGGATTTAAAGATAATGAGTTCAGTTTTATTACAGTTAAGAGAAAGTTTATTAGATCAATGCCGTTGAACAAGATTTGAGAGATCATGATTAATATATTTGTTGATTTTTTTTAGCGATTTGTCAATCAGTAGCATGTTAGTATCGTCCGCAAAGTGGTTAGCAGTTGCAAATTTAAAAGAAGTATTTAAGTCATTAATAAAAATAAGAAAGAGAAGTGGTCCTAAAACTTGAGGGACACCATTTGAGCACTTTTTTATGACAGAATTAGTCCCATTAATGGAAACAAACTGTTTTCTATTGTTAAGATAAGAACTAAACCATTTAAGTGGGATGCCTCTGATTCCATAATACTCCAATTTTATTAGATTTATTGAGTGATCTATGGTGTCAAAAGCTTTTTCCAAATCTACAAACACTCCACATGCAAAGTGCTTGTTATCCAAGAATGTTTGCTTCGGAATCCATACTGATGTTGGTATTTTACAGGATTTTACATTTTTCTAGAAACTTGTACAGTCTGTTATGTCTTTTCAAAAAGTTTGCTCAAATTGAAAAGAAGGGAAATAGGTCGATAGTTAGTGTAATCAAGAAGAGAGCCTTTTTTTGAGGATTGGAACAACTCTAGCCACTTTGAATACATCAGGGAATGTGCCACTTTTAAATGAGTTATTAATAATAGCGCAAAGTGGCTTTGAGATAATGTGAGATGTAAGTTTTAGAAAAAATGAGGGTAGGCTGTTAGGACCATAGCTTGTGTTATTTTTTAAAGTATTATTGATAAGATTAGATACCTCATCTTCACTTACAGGATCAATAAAGAGGGAATTAGTATTTGGCATATTAAGAAAGTCTCTAAATTTGTGTTTTATTGGTCTGATTTCCCTGTGTAGTTTTTTATTGACAGAGATAAAATAGTTGTTAAATATATTAGAGACAGTAGTAAGGTCTGTGGTAATATTTTCATTCAAATTTAGTTGAAAAGGTGCATTGTAAGATGATGATTTAATGTTAATGACTTCTTTAATACCTTTCAATGTATTTTTTATGTTATTAAGGTTGTTATTGAAATAGTTTATGTAGAAAGATTTTTTGCTACTTTTTAGTAAGTTACTAATTTTATTCCTATAATATTTAAATTTTTTAAAGAGTTCGTTTTTATTATATATATTTTTACATCTTGCAAATTTTATGTAGATAAATTTTTACTATTTTTTACAGATAGATTTAAGTATTTCTTTAGAGATCCAGGGTTTAGATTTGAGAAGTATTTTATCTTGGATAATGTTAGAAAGGGGGCATAATGGTTTAAAATTTTCTCAAACGTCCTTAAGAAGTGATTGACAGATTGATTCACATAATCGCCTTTTTTAATCAAGATTTCCCAGTTGATTTTAGAGATGTCCAGAATAAATTTGTTGGTATCAAAGTTTTTAAAACTTCGCCTTGAAATTTTAACTTTGTTTGGTTGACTGGCTGTGCAAGGAACACATATAAATTGTGCCATGTGATATTAAATAGAAATAGTTAAGTTACCAGAGAGATGATCAGTAGAGTGGAAGTTCATGAAGATATTATCAATGAGTGTTTGTAATTTAGCTGTTATGTGGGTAGGTAGGATTATAGAAAGGTTAAAAAAATAAGAACATAAGGAATCAAAGTAATTTGAGGTAGGATTTGACTCTCTATGATCTAGTAAATCTATATTAAAATCACCCATTAAGGGTGGAAGTGAAATCCTTTTGACTCATTGATGGGTGACAATATATGCAGCCAATTAGAATATTAGTTTTGTGTGGCTTAATGATTTTAACAAAAACAGACTCTAGTAATTTTGGTACATATATCTTGAGATAATTACGAACTACATAATTTAAATTTGATCAAAGATATAAAAGAACACCACCTTTTTTGGCTTCAGTGGGGCAATGCTCAATGTTGAAACCACTAATGGTTATGTCTGTTATATTTGTGTCATTAATATATAAGTTGGATTCAGTAATCCCTATTGCCATCGGTACAATATTAAGTGTGCTTATAAGGTTGCATAGGTCATCAATGTGATAAGAAAGTGAGGCAATGTTGAGATGAAGATATAGATCTGAAAAAGGTTTACTAGTTTCATTAAAGTCAATATAATCATAGTATTTACAATTTATAGAAGAGCTAGAGATTGCATTAAGTTCTTTTATCAAGCTTCTCATGTGGATAGGAGATTTAAGAATGTTTGAGAGACTTACCATTCAAAATATTTGCTAATTTACTTACTAATAATACTTAAAATTTTGTAAAAACTTGTACCATGTACTATTTTATCTCAACTATTAAAAACTGTTGATTAAAGATGGTTATTATTTTTGTAAATTACCTGAA